CGCGCTGGCGGTTGAAAATGAGAGATGGAGTAACATTTTCTCTAATGAATGCGATGGATGAATGAGTTTACTGCTCGTTTGTTCCCTCAGGAAATTTTTCTTGAAGATTGCAAAGAAAATTGCATGTTGTTTTATAAGTGTTTTTGCCTTTCACACACCCTCCTTTTGTCACATCAAGCATCATCAAGCTTTGTTTTCTTGGCATAATAATATTTTCTTCTGCAATTAGACAGAATAAAACATCGTCGCGTAGGAGAAAAATTTAATATATTGCGAAATAAATAGGGTTCATCATCAAGTGATCACATTATTTCCCAGCAAAGCTTTATAAATTATCTGAATTATTACTTAACGTGACAACATTGAAAAGTCATTTGCTGCTCGTTGAAATTGTTCGCTGTTCTTTTATCGAATCGCGCGGGTTCTTTCAGCAATACATCCTTGAATTCCTTGATACTTTCACGTCGTTTGTCTCGTATCCATCTAATGGATTTTATGGCATATCATAAATATTTCATGGACCATACAAAATCACGTCAATCCCATAATTTTTCGATAAAGACGAGTTCACATGAGAGAAAGGATCTTCCCTCTCCCATTCCAATATTCGACATTACAAACGCGCGTATTCGGTTGTAAAGTGATTCTTCCGAGAGCTTTTATACATATGTGTTGATGTGTTGGTGGGTATTATGCAAAATCCCCTTCTTGTTTGTGAAGTTTATGCGGAACAAAGAATATCCAGTAAAGGACACCTTGTTTGAAAATTTACATTTTCCACTCTGAGCATACAAAAAGGCAGCATCGCATGAAAATTACATAAAACTCATCACAAAGAAATATATCCACACATGAATGTTCACCATGCAGTATAAAATATTAAAGCTCTGTTTGTGTTTTTAGAGTTGGCAGAATGTCCTGTGGCGGAAACGTGTACGAGACAAAAAAGAGAAGCAATAATAAATAGAACAATCAAGGAAAATTCTTGTCAAATAAAGGAACTTTTTTCCCTGGCTTCACTACAATCTTCCGGTGAAATAGCTATGTTTATACGAACAGAGACGACACTACCTATATATCTAATTTAAATCGGCGTTGAAACGTAAGAGACAAGAGATCTTCAAAGTTTTGCGTCATAAATTATCTTTGGGCATAGAAATGTTCCTTTCAGCTCTATTGTTAGGAAACTTTGCTGGCCCTTTGCTGAAAGCATGAGCCACACAAATCGATAAAGTGTGGAGGGCAATAGGATTTTATAAGCGCATCGCCTTTATGTGCAAGTTGAGTGTATGATGAACTATGCACCAAGATATGTAGTTTATTTTGTGACTTGAGTCCCTTCGAGTGGTTTTCCTTCACCCCCACACTCCGCTATTTTCTTAATGGTCTCTTAGTTGTTTGCTGAAAAGCTCCGTAGAAGAAGAATGACAAATTGTTAAACGAATATCGAAGGGATGAAAAATCTTAAGTGGATGAACTGAAAAGCACTTGAGATAGTATATCTTCGCTCCTATCACTCCACTTGCACTCGTTATCGCTCAATCTTTCCATCAAATAAGAGCTTTAAATTTGATCATTCCATATACATTGTGACATTTCCAGTCTCTGACAACATTTTAGCAGTGTGCTCAAGTATTTCAAACTGAATTCTCCTCCGCACTCTTTTGTGAATTTGGTCGCGGTGCAGAAAGAGCAGAAAATAGGGAAACAATGATAGTTTTCCACATCGTTTCCAGGGGATTTTTATTGACATTCAATTTGGCACATTATTGTGGAAAGTACAATCAAAATCAAAGTATAGGGTGACCATAAAAAAAAGACACGAAATAATAAGATTTTTACTCCATTTGGCGCAAATCTCCGTGGCGCCAAAAAATTACTATGTAAATAATATTTTGCGTCTTACAGAAATTCACCGCACAAAATAATAGATTCTAGCTTGAAAACTTTCACAGTCTTCCTCTTGTGTATATATTGGTCAAATGGTTTCCCCAGTGATTCTTTTCCCCATGAAATTTCACTGGCTTTTGCACCATCAAGTCCTTGCTACATAAATGTACAATACATTAAATTGAATGAACACAGAACTCGTCATCCTCTCGACGCGGCGAAGAATTCCGGTCAATGCTTTTGGATGCCAACAACTGCTTGTGTCGTAATTTTGGTTGTAGGAATAGCATGAGAAGAGAATGAGAGAAGAAAACATCCAAGGACAATAAAGTAAGAAAGAAAGCCGCAACTTTATGAGAAAAGAAGTGCTTTGAGAGTGACGAAAGAATTAAGGATGGGTGGAGATTGACAAACGTTCAACTTCCAGTCGCCAAATGAATTTGGCTAATGAAGAAGAAGATGATTAATTGTAGTGTTGAATGTCTAAATACTCTGAATCATTTATTCATGTGTCATATCTTATCATATTCATAAGTAATCGCAGCACAAACAGTGTGTTTTAATCACTAGAACAGAGGAGAAAGAATCAATCGATTGTTTGCTCGCTGTTCAACTTCTATTGTGAGCTTTTCTCATTGGCAAGAGGAACTTTAATCCATTCTAAAATCTTCCCCACGGAGCGTCTGAACTGTTTTGATATTCAGGGCTTCCCTTATCCACCGTGCTGAGGGTGTAACAATGACTGAGTGACATGTGATGTGATATAAATTGACTATAATGAATTGATCTGTCAAGATTGATGGACTGATTTGTCCCGAAGTCATCACTTTAGAGACCCATTGCAAGATCCCAGGTGGACAAATCAGAAATTGCATCAACTCACCATTAAATATCTCCTCAATTGAAGGTGACTAAAGGTCGCAAAGACAATCATGTGTGTGGAAAACATGGTCGTTAAGGCGAATAATTTAAAACGAGAGATGAAAAAACGAACTGGAGCAAATTTGTAGATTCAGTGACGCGTAGGAACAATAAGTCCTTGACATGAATTGATTAATGAATGCTGACCCGAAATTCTTCAACCATGCATTATTAGGGGGTTTGCCATGCTGTGACACAATCTCTTCAATATTCATTCACCCAAAGATGTGCATTCTCCGAGCGGAATCCCTTCCATAGATTGACTTTCGTTATGACTCTTAAGGAGATGAGCTTTATTGAGAATTGGCATTCATGCACTCTGCATTTTCCATCAGACGGTAACTTGAGACCCAGATGTCAATGATATATAGTATCTTGGGATATTCCCTGCGATGGCGCAGCAACTCAAAATTCAATCATTTATATTGCATTAATATATTAACAGACACATGTTGTGCATAGAATGGTAAATTGCATAGAGAATTCAGTGTTGGAACAGCTGAAACAGGAGAAAAAAGGATATCAATTTTCTCGTAATGCATTTTGATCAATTAACTTAAATGAGCATGGCTTAAAAGGGGAATTTTCCCGTCTCTAATCTTATCATGAAATTGTCATGGGATTTTGTGCACATTAATTAAGATTTGAATTTAATACCCAAATGGAAATTCGCACAGCTCGCGACGTCACATTTTCAATTATTTTCAGAGAAACATCGCCAGAGCTTATAGTTAATTCTCCTAATAAATTTAAATATTTGTAGTGGCCACGAAATTAAAAGATGCTGCGCGATAGGAAGCTTAGTAATTATCATTTTGAGATACGATTTGGGATTGTATAACATCGGATTTTCCCTTCGGATTAATATAGTCTGGGTGTAATGTCAATATTAGGAGTGCGCAAGAGTTATGTTATGTTATCTCAAAGGAACTTACAACAATGGAAAATCTCTACACACAGTTTTCTATGTATGAAACGAGGAGTATCAAAACTTTAGGCATTCCTATTATAAAGGAATTTTGTGAAGTTATTTGAGAGGAAAAGTCCTCGTTTTTCATCAAAGATCTATCTAAAATAAAACCAATGAACTATTTTTAATATTACCTATACATGTTAGGCTTTCTATTGCTATGTATAATGCTTAACAAAAATGGTGAGCGCTGAATCCTTTTGCGTGTGGAAAAGTCATTCGCGACTTTATGATTATTATTCAATAACTTTTTCGATTAAGCTAAAAAACATCGAAATATTTGATTATATTCTCTACATATTGCCGACATAAGGCAGCAATATAATCTTTAAAAGCATGTTGGAGTTCAGATTTTATTTCCTCCTAATTTTAAGTGTTCGAATCCAATTTGTGGCATATTGTGTGACCGTTTTTACTATTTCAATTTAAAATGTAATTAAATATTAGGAAAATGTTAAAAATTCATTTTAAAATCTTATTAAAAAGATTCAATTTTTAATTATTTTGCTATACTTATTGCAAAAAAAATCATTTTTGATTATTTCTATTCAAGTTTTGATTAATTGAAAGCCAAAATCAGTGATCAAATGTTTGATTGAGACCGTTAACATTCCTCAAACATCTTCTTGTGACTTTCTCCTTGGAATTTTCTTGTCATTATGAATTCAATAAGATCAAGAATAAAATATATTGATGTATTCCCTAAAATTTGAAGGCAACAAATCAATTGCTTCATTATGATAATACTGCTTAGTGAAGGGGATCAGAATAAATCTCCATGTTTACACTACTTTACAGTTTACTTGTGCGGTCTTGCCGCAAGTGTGTGCATATTTGATAATGCCGATTTCCATCCAGCGCGTCGTCTTTTAATGGAGCTCGCTTGGGAGCTTGCGAGGAAGGTTGAAGAGAGTCTGGGTAAATCTGAAACAGTAGCGCTATGAAATGAGAATACAAGCATATACTGTGAATTCTGTATACCTAAATAATTTATTAACGGCTCATTTCACCCCAAAGTATTTTGTGTAAGTGATGAAGACTTCAAAAGAAATGAATCCATTAGAGATGAGAGTTTAAATACCACGCATGAAATCACGATAATACATCAAAAGATGGCAAAAGGACGGGAAAAGCTTAATGACTCACTCGTCCATCCTCACCTTTTTGCACAGCCACTCGATATGAATGACTAGACGAATTCAATGAGCCTTACATGTGGTTTTGAGCATTGTGGCACATTTTATTCCGAAAAATGGAATTACACTCTAAAATTCATTCAGCTGTTAGTTGAAATGTTTTACCACAGCATTTCCTATTTATAATCTTCACCAGTCCTGTTACTCCAAAAATAGCTGCTAAGCAGACAAAATACCATCCAAAGACTTGAAATTGTCCTCGAGGATCCAGAGCAAATCCCACGTCGGAAATAACAATGATAGTCATAATTGTTTGGAAGAGGAGAGCAAACATGGTGTTAATGCCAAATATTAGGGCAAAACTGTCCTCAACCAGATACTTTGCCACGGTGGCACTGTAAAGAGAGAGAGAGAGAGAGAATTGAAATGGGCATAAATAACTTCACTCGCAGCACGGGAAAGTGAAGAAATTGAAGATAACTTTGCTAATTATGGAAATGGATGAAAAATCGAGTTGAAGGAGTAATTAATTCAGAGGAATTTTCCAAAAGGTTGACTTGAGAGGGTGCTCGCGATGTAACTTCCCGCGGAAATCGATTGCAATTAGATTCCCATGAATGAGACTTCCCGTGTGTTAAGGAAATAAAATTCACATAAAGATGATAAGTGAGTCGTGATGGGAGATTTCGCGGCGCAAGTGCGCCTTGAGAGATGAGTTTATTTTGCTGCTTCTTTCATTTGCGCTTATTATCTATCTTCTCAAATCTCAAGATGATATTCCTCTATCAGCGCCACAATGTAATAAATGGAGTAAATAAATGAGCACATCGTGAAAATTAGGAAGACTTTGCAAGCATGTTTGATGAGAACTTTTTCCCGCGCGCGCCCCACACATATCTATATTTATACAGTGTTCTTTACCCACTCAATGCTCGCGATATGTTCTCGCGAGCGTCAACTTACGGTTGGAGTGTTCAAAAGTGCAAAACAAATAAATTCACCACACATAACTGAGAGGCGTCGGAGAATGGTTGGAAATTTAAAGCGATGCGCGATGCTCTTTATGGCTTTACTGCTCGTGCTACAAATAGCATGCCAAAGAATGGAGAAGCAGAGTGAAGCTCTAGCCCAAGAAAAGGGCCTTTTCTCGATTCAGCAAGATTTTTTCCGGCACATTCAGCATTCCCCCCTTAACATTCTCCACGTTCGCTGCGTGCTCGTGACACACATAATGCGAGAAGAAAGGGAGAATTTTGTGTCTCATTGACCCATCCAAGAATCTACAAGACGTTCAGATGCCGAACAATATACACATTTATTGAACGCCAACACGTGCGGGTTTTTCAGAAAATTCCTCCAACACTAGATTTAGCAATAAGGTAATTTTGTATCTACAACAATTCTTATGAGCCTTCCAACAATATCCAAATCAAAGAGTAACTTTAGACACAAAATAAACCTATATAATGTCTTGACCTAATTTAAAGGCAAAAAGAGAATATAGTTTCCAATAAATTTACAACAGTTCAACAATAAACACGATATCTAATCTTTCTTAATTGCCGTTTCTTGAGGTCAATTTAGAAAATTAATGGAGAATTCAGTGAAGAAAACTTCCATGAATACTAATATAAATTTCTTGGTTTTTGTATCAAATGGACCAGAGAAAACATTGTCTCAGTGGGAGGAAGAAGAAAAATTGCAGCCACCGAAACATTTTATCACAGTCTCTACTGTGTATTTCCACAATAAACAACAATATTTCTATGCCTTTTTACTTATATGTTTCCTCTTCTTCTTATACATTTTTGTATTGTTCCATATTTTTTTTCTGGGGGCTTTACAAACAATATGAATTTTTCACAAAGTATAAAAACGTTAACATGAATGAATGAGCAAAGCCATATTTTTGTATCTAATTTCTTCATTGCTGTTTTTTACGTCATAATTGAATATTTTACTATATATCTCGAGAATTGTTTTCCATAATATTGCTGAAGAAATAGGGAAAAATCTCATGTACTCCATAGTTTATTGTTATCCCTCAATTTTCCTAAAGCATACAAATGTCGTAAAATTTACTTCGCTATATATATCTTCCAGGATTGCCCGTTTTTCCCTTCATTCCATTAATGCCGTAAAAAGAAACATCCAAATTGACCATGGAATTCACTTCTTTTTCATATTAATAACGTTGCCTTAATTTCCCTGAAGCGCTTCAATAACGAGAATAACATTCATTGTAATTGAGCGCTTATAGATAAAGGTAAATATTTGTCGAAGCTTTATGATTATTATTATAATCTTAAATAGATAGAAAAGCTTTCATGGAAGATTTTCGGATCGTCGAAAACTATATCTGATTTGGGAGAGTAAATATTAGAGAATCTGGTTCGTCTTTGTTCTCTTTGCTATATGTTTGAAAAGTCCTTCACAGGCACGAAGAAAGAGGAGATGAATAAGGAAAAATCAAATAAAAGTACTGACTTCACTGTGACAATTGTGAAATATTATAATTTTCCAGTTCAGCTGGTATAAAGTCAAATTTTTCATTGACTTGCAAATGGATTGGCAATTCGGGTAAAACTTCTTCCAGACGTGAATTTAATTCTCTGACTTTCAATGCAGCACATTTCAGGGGAATCGTAAAAAATAAAGAGTATTGAAAGGCAATAATTCAAGGCACTTGCGGGAGAAATAAATTGAATGATTCGGGAAATTGCTTACCTTGCAATAGTGATCATGAAGTGATATAGAGTGCCGAAGAGAACGTACAGCACATAAGCCACAATGACGTGTTGCGTGAAGGCGGCGCCCAGGATCAGAGCTCCTTCCACGGCGGAGCAAATTGTGAGAATCCACAGATCCCACTTCTCAATGAGGCGGGCATTCAGGGAGCCCGCCAAAAGGGCACTGATCGCCCCGAGGAGGGTCAGCGCGGCCTCGACGGCGCCGTTCCAAAAAGTCTCTCGCCCGTCATCGATCTGCTGCCACAGGGGCTGAATGTACGTTTGAACCTGGAAAAACGATGGGAATCGCAAATGAAGTCAATTAACCACGAAATACACGCACAGAAGGGGACGCACGACCCACACCGCCGGGCCTTGTGGGGCTCCCGTGATATCCCCCACGAGGGTAGGTCGGAGAATTGGCTCGTTGGTCTTTAACAGCAATTTTATGTGCGTTCTGTGGCGTCCAGAGAAAGCCACAGAGCAATAAATGTCACACAATATGGGGTGAATAGCCATAATACAATAGTAAGTCATTAAATTGCAGGGAAATAAGAAGGTAAATATGCCACTCTGACCTCAACAACCTTGTCAAACACATTAAGTTTTGCGGTGAAATCAGACGCGTAATGATGAATTCATGCGGAGAATTTTAATTGCCAACCGCACATTCTAACGAGAGGTGCACAAAACGGTGGAAGATATTCCGGATTATAATCTTGCCATAACATTTAAGGTGTTTTATGTTCTGACACAGACTTGCATTGTAAATAATTAAATATGCTTTATGAAGCAACTGAACCTTATCAAATTTAATCAAGAAGGCAACATTTCGTTGTGTCAGAATTCATTCACCAGCCCTGCGATGTTCGCAGAGCTTTCTTACCAGACAACATTGCGATGCCATTGGGGAATTTGACTGTGTATTTCAAGTCCTGAACCTTCCGCATATCAAACAATACACACAGTCTATAGTATACATATGGCACACTTTCCCTTGAGAGAACATTTTGTGAATCACCTGAAGGAAGCCGCACATGGCAAGAGCCCACCAGAGGCTCCACTGGAAGACTGTTCGATTGCTATAGCCGGCGATGAAATGCTGCCAAAGAAGAGCAGTCGCTCGTTGGCATGAGAAATGAATTTTCTCCTCAACATCCTTAATGGGTGATGAATCAGCAGTGCAGACGTCTTCAGCTGCTCTGCCACTCGACCCATTCCCAGCACTTTCGGACTCTGCCTCTGCAAAGCACATCCAATTTAGCGCCGGGGAGAACTTTAAGGGGATTCAAATTCGTTTTTACTTGATTTCATCACATCGACATCTTCTTCAAAGCGTCTCCTCACGACGCTCTTTGATTGTTTGTCATCCTCTGGACTGAGATCAGCTGCGTGATTTGTGTAGGCGAGACTTTCTGGAGTGTCATCGTGCTTCTGCTCAGCACTCGAGTCCACTTGGACACCTTCAATGGGTGCCTTTCTGGCGTAGAAGTACATACTAACGCCGACACTGGGAAGGACAATTGATATGAAGAGAGACACTATTTGACCTGCAAGGAGAATAAATCTTCATTAACCGATATCGGCACACTCTAAACACGTAAAGAACACGCCCCAACACACCAACACCCCTTTGATATATTATTCACCCTGATAAAAGTCCACGAAGTAATCAATTATGTCCAATTAATTTTGCCAGAGAATTAATTTCTGAAGAAGACAGTAAAATGTTGCAGAGAGAGATAAACTTTCACGGTCTTGGAAAATGTTTTACACCCTGTTAAATTTTTATGTTAATCTCTTTTGATATTATTTACTCGCTGAAGAATATAAAAGAGATACTCATTCAAAACATAATTGTCTATAAATACACTACAAACGTTAACTTCAAAAATTCATGAGCAAAAGAATGTTTTACGACTTGTGCAAGTTGAAGTGAGAGCCCATAATTTAGAATGAGCTTCGCCACAAGTGACTTTAGCGTCAAGAAATATCAAAATTGACCATTAAAATGGTGATTCTGGAGAAAGAAACTTGAGAAAGAAAGTTAAAAATCACATATTTCAGTATAGTTTTTCCATCTTTCCGCATGCGAAAGCGAATAATTCCAAGAATTAAATGGATTTGCTTGATATTTACACACATGAACATATTGTTATTATTCCATAGCACTTCTATGGAAATCCATGACTAAATTCCACTTGTAATACGTTCCATAAGGCTTTAGAGAGGAATTCAAAAGTTTGCACGTATTTTCTGAGCTTAGGCATTTCATGGCGTTAGAAAATATTTGCCAAAAGCTTCTTATAGAAGATGTTATTCATTCGCTCTAAGAGTCGAGAGTTCAGTTGAGGAGATTTTCAATAGGCGATTATGTACATATGTGATTTACTCCTTTCCTCCTTAAAGCACGTACCATTTGCTCTTCCACGGAGGAGTGATAGAGAGATGGTGTGAGGGGAAATATATCATATTGATAGCTTTAATAAAACTTGCTGTGGCACATTCTTTTACGATAATTCGTTTTCCGTGATTACGAATTCATGCCCATGCAATATATATACTCACTGCCGAAGGAGATGTAGTTCAAGTCGCGGAAATCCATCAACTCGAACGAGACGAGAAGCTGAGCAGTTGTACCTGCGAGAAATCTTCCTGTAAGAATTGCTGAGCGAGTGTGTCCGGTAACCTGTTGATACCGGCGCCGCTCGACTTTGGCATAGATGTAGGTGTAATAGGCCACTTCGGCGGCCATAAAAAAGCCATAGAAGAATTGTGTCACCTTCCAATTTCAAACAATGAAGCATTTGTTACGTCTCTTTGAGGGATTATTTTTGTGGTTTGTTAACACTCACATAAAGCCACCGAAGTGTTATGGTCCAGAGAAGAATGGCCCAGAGGCAAATGCCAGAAATTGCTGACAGAACAATGATTGGTTTATACCTAGAATTGATTGTCACATCATTACTTAATCGAATTCCTTTCTCTCTCTCTCTCTTCCAGGTCACATTCCTGAAGTGATTCAGAAATGTTTTTCGCCGATGAAGGGTGAGTTTGAAAACATGATCACATATTTTATACACACAATTAGTGTGTTGTGTAAACAAATTTTACAGAACATCTTACGAAATTGTGAAGTTGTTCATGTTGTGCAAACACTTTTCACTAATATGTTTGTTAAAATCCATTTCTGCATTCAAGTTATCGATACTTACCGACACTTATCGACACGCCTTACATTCATTTTTCCCTTGTTAACACAATTTTAGGGGAATAATTGGGAAAATCGACAGCTAAATTAGTCCCTTGGCTGTCGATTTTCAATATTTTTTCCTAAATTTGTGTTGAAAAACGGAAATTTGCTCACAATTTGTATCGATAAGTGTCGATAACTTCAAATTGAGAATTAGCAAGACGGATAATAATTATTAAATAATTCATTAATTAAGTTAATTACACACACGTGAGAAAGAAATGATCGCATTAAGTTCTCTTATCTGTGAAGCCTTGATTGTAAGTTTCAAGAAGTCGCTTATCAAGTATATGATTGTTTGATGTGAATCTATAAGTGTTCTCTTCTTTGATCTTGACTCAGGGAAGAGACACTTTTATGGCACTCTTACCTCAGCATATCTGTAATAAGGAAGACAACCACCAAAAGTCCCAAGTAAAAGTATGTTCCCATCGGGTAGATTTCGCGATTGATGACTTCTGCTGAGATGTTTCGCCATGGTCCGGACATGAATTCAAAGACAAACGGCTCTGACGGACGGTATTCTCGGAAGAATCCGAAGGTGCAGAGCATCAAGGATACTTTCAGCCACTGATCCATTTTGCGTCCACTTTTCTCGCACTCCAGAGCACAAGTATTCCGGTCAAGTGGTCATCAGAGACTCACGCAGTCAGTGCATTTATCTAAATCATAGGCAAACCTCCATCGCAGGTGGATTACAATTGGCTTTTGAATTTTAATCTGATGGGGATTAGATGTCGATTTCCTCGTTGAGACACGGTGCAAAAAAGCGTCTGGCAACACGAGATACACGTAATCTCGAAGTGTTGTGGGTGGCGCGATGTCTTATCAGAGCCTATTGTATAATTTTGAATTTACTGTCCGCACTTTGTATTGAAATTTTATAGCGATCACTTTGCCGGAGAGAAGATGAATGTATTTTTCTTCAATTGGATATTAAACTTGTCACGCTAAATGCTCTCCTTCCACTGTTTGTCACTATTATGCAACACACTCGCTGAGCGAATGATGTCAGAGGAATTGGCTGAATTGCAGCTCCTCCTCAGTTGCGTATCCTCGGTTAATTGAACTGAACAGGGAACTGTGTGGATTGTTCTTTTCAAACTATACACGGACTTGTTCTCCGGCGCTCACATGGGAAACTATCTCAAATGGATTGTTTGCCCGTCAAGCTTTGCCAAGTGACTAATTACGTGGCGGTCCCGTGCTGAACACTGAAGCCGCAGAGCGTCTGAAACACAGGCAAAGCCATGTCGGTTCGTCACAAAGTGTACTGACGTTGTGCCAAATAATAGATAACCATGTGCCGGTGTGAACAAGCATGGGATGTCAGGAGTGTGACATCTCTTGAAGATGCAGGAATGCGAGGGGCTCGCTTGGGCGTCATAGAGTCACGTGTTGCTGACGCCACGGTCAAGATCAGCCACTTGGCCGGCACAGCCAAACACAAAGTGAGATTCAATTAAGAGACTGTTGAATGGAATTGATTGCCAGCATTTGGATCAAAATGCCACTTATTTTACAGATGGTTTTGTAGAGTTCACAGTCCATTTGAGTATCAATAACACAACATCCCAGCAATGATCTCTTCTGGGGATTCCTCAACTGTGGATAAACATGACTAACTGGAAAATTTAATTTGATTTACACAGAGTAAACATTCACGGGGTTTTTCCTGTAATATTTCCAATGAAAATTCACAATGTATGCCTGAGAAGTTGTCCAACCCACAATCCTGACCGCAAGTCATCTTCCTCAGAGACTCCTCTTTATCGCCGCATTCTATTTCATGTATATCTGGGGGATGTGCTCACAAAGTTGACCTTATACCCTCGTCCCATTTGCCACCTCATAAATGGAAATAAGGGATGGAAGCGGCAAAGGAGTGCGATAGGTAATCTGGAATAGTCACGAGCTCCTCCACGTATTGGACTCATGGGAAAACAATCCTTTTCGCCCCTCCAGCCGAAACTTCATCCACACTTTTCATCCCTCCTTTTAATGTTTTCCTTTTCTATCACACCCTGCTCAGTGTGTGTATCTATAAATTACCAATGTTTGAGTCATTGATTTTCCTTCTTTATTTATGTTTCTCGTGTTCCACTGATAAAGAGAAAAATACTTCACAGACACTTCCGCAATGGATTGGGGATTTTTTACCGAATTTCTTTCATGAACTACTGAATAAAAAAATCAGAATTTGAAGAAAAAGAACAAAAAAGTGATTATTTTCAATTGCGATTTGAAAAAATCAAAAAAAGAATATTTTCGGTAGAATATTTAAATAAATAAAATTATAATAAAATAATTAATTAAAATTTGTTTAAACTTCTGCTCTTTTGCAGCAAAATAACCATGAATTGAAAAAAAACCATCAAATATTTGAATATTCTTTGGCATATTTCAAGGAATGATTGAAATTTGTATGGGAAAATCAAAATAAAATGATTGAATTTCCCCTTGTGTTAAAAGGTCACTCTAAACCTTTTAAGTCTTGCTAGTGGAATTTCGCTCCTCTTAATTGTATAAGTTGCACGAATTGTGTTTTTCTCTCACACTCGACAATGATATAAATTCATATTATGAAAGCCTATTTCCGGCAATTTAACTTTTCTTTCAAAGCAATTTTCTCGGGCGATATTCTGTGGATAATGTTGTTTTTCCTCTGGAGTTGCGCCACCGAAGAAGTTTCACCCTCTTTGAGTGGCGCAAAAAAGTGGTTCAGAACTATTGAACTCGAGATTTATGCGCGATTACCAGTTTGCCAAGGGTATCGAGACAAAGAGTGGGTCGCACGAGGAAAGTGAATTACTCTCCGTGGCACGTGGAAATGATCAGAAGGGCAGGTGAATGATCCCATGGCGAATTGCAAAGAACTGGGACGATGGGATAATTTTTCTCCCGGTTAATTGTTATTGGAGGGAGGAGCTCTCGTCAATTGCTGTCCATTCTTGGTCAGTTGAACACTGTCGGTAATTGATGGTGATCCCATTTGGGTAGGAAATCGCTCTGAGCGACTCCATGCCGCCTCCCTCTATAATGAAAACGTCACAGAATATTTATATGGCACCAGAGAGACGGACTCTTGTGGAATCTTATACTGTGTATTTGAATTTTCCAGCCACCATGTCAGAGGGTGTAAAATGAAACTCTGCAAAGAGGAGTCACAGTGGTTGTGAGCAGTATTGATGACAGTGCAGATCATCATTAGCACTTTTCGCATGAGTGAAAAGCCAAACAATTTGAGCACGTAAAGGCTTTAGCATATTTTTCACTCACATATTAACCATCGAAGAAACAACACGTTTTGCCATCGCATTCCCGCCCCCAAATCTCACCACGAATCTCATCTTTCGCTGATGACACACATCTTTGAGCGTGTATATATCATCAATTTTCCACACACTCCCGCAACCACGTTTCCCATTCAATCAGATGAGGCCCAGACACTTCCCTTCCAGAATCCCTGTCGCCGTCAGTGACGACAGCGTGCAACATCTCAGCACATCCCCATCGGCCACGTTGGGAGGCAAAGAGAGCATCTGCAGAGTGGCGAGGCTCGGGGTGTGAAGGAAAAAATGTCCTGGTTGACATTATATGGCAGGTACAAGCTTAACTTTGCTCCTTCACGCCTACTCACGAGCCCCTTCTCCCGCAGGCGAATGAATACAAGATTGGATATTAAACGGTGAATGTGGGGAACAAAGCCGGGGTGAGATGCGAAGCAGAAGGCATAAGAAGACAAGGGAGAAGTTGTGAGGTGGGAAAAAAAAGGCAGAGAAAATGTTTTTACCACATTTTCCACCTGGCTGAAATCGACAATGTGTGCTCTTTTGGTGAAAAATACAACGGAAATGTTGACTATTTGCCAGAGAACAAAAAAAAATCCACACACACACACCCCTTAAAGAGATAAGGAAAAAAATCCCAGTGCGGCTCCAATTAGAGAGAAATCCTGTCGGGTGGTTTAAAAATTAAAACACAAGTCCTAATTAAACTGAGCTTTGCCCATTCATTCCGCCCCCAATTATACCTTTGCGTGCACAAAACCAGAGATTATATGCAATCTGCCGGAGCTTCGCTGTGTTATTGCAAAAAGGATTATTGAACTCCGGAGACTGGATGGGCGAATGGTGAATATTTGATGTAAAATACAATTGCAGACAAGCTCAAAGCAAAAAGTACTTCCCAATTTTACTGCATGACATTTGATTTTTCAATTCACTTTGAAGAAAATTGTGTTGGAATAACCGAATATATTTTGTGCGACTGAATGGAAAACTAGATATGTCAGGGGAAATTGAGAGGCTGATAAAATTTTCTATAAACACTTGGGATTTTATTTTACTTTCAAAGAGACTTATTTAATGCAAATTTTACAAAATTATTGTGTAAGGAAATACATAGAAAACATATAAAAAATAACTCACATTATAAAGAATTGCTCTTAATGTTTATAAGGGATGAAAATTATTCAATTTTACCTAAAGAAAAGGTTGTTCATTATTTTATTCACATAGGAAAAATTGAAGAAACTATATAATTGTAAAAGTCGTGAAATTCAAATCTGTGTTTCCACATTTTCCACATTATCTTAAATTCAAACCGCGTGCTTCAAGACTCTCTTGTGCAGAACTCTGGTGTCAAAAAGCGAAACCTTTTGTCAATGTGGAAAAGCAAGCATTTCCCGCAAATTTCTCTCATTTCTCTCTCGCTCTCGCTCTCAATGAGCTTCTCCTTAGAAAATATTCCGTTGAATTGTGTGCACAAGAAGCGCGAGCGCTTTTTGGGGGAAAAGCAAGAGAAATTTCCACAGAATGGAATGAAAAAGGGAATATTTGATTCATTCTCAATGGGGTAAAGGAAATGATGAAAAATAAAACGTCGAATTTTCTTTCATTTTACAATCAAATACACCACTCAAATATCCTCAACATATTTCCTTTTATTCTTTTTGCACTTGACATCATCTTTTACATTCCGCCTACGCCACCGTGACTCCTCTTTTCACCTGGAAGTTTATGAGGGTGATTTGGGGTTCCTAAATATATTCAATATGAGTATACTTGTCGGTTTATTTGTATCTTCGGGGACAGCGCATGAAATTGAACGTGAGGCCCAAGATATGATTTCGCCACTGCGATGTCGCAGGTGGGGAAAGGGTTGTGCTGAGCTGAGGGAGGCGGAGGATTCATCCAAATATCCATATCGCATTTGGCTTCATATTTTTCCGGAAGATCATTTGCGATTTTCCTATTTCCGTCCCTTGCAATACACAAATGCCCTGGCATGGAATTTTCTTCAGAGGCGCCATCCACGCGTGGGACTTCCTCTATTTTCTCCCCCAACTTCCGGGCCATTACAAGAGAATTTCAGAGGATTTGTACAGGCGAAGTTGTAGAAAGTTTCCTGGTGACTCGATAGAATTACAAAGTGTTGAGCATATTCCTCGCCATGTGGTCGTATTCTGCAAACTATAAATACCCCGGCATATTATTTGAAATAGTTTCCCGGTACAAATGTGTCTCCGAGGAAAGAATGTGTAATTGTAATATGCTTTTTATAGAAACATGTACACGTGAATAAATTACCTACTTAGAAGTGCTGTGCTATTTAGGATGAAACTATTTTAGGATCTACTTTTGCGCACACAAACAATTTATACAAAAGGGGATTCTAATCCTATTGTTTTCACCCACACTTTCTATAATTATCGCAATATATGTATTGTGTGCGATTGCAAAAAGGACAAAATATGTCTCCTTTGAATTGCTGTGAGCGATTTATTGCTTTGAAATGAAAAAAAAATCTATCAAAATGAACATCGATTTATCAGTTGTTGCCTGTGATATTGAATTTCACTGGAACACCATGAATTCTCACAGAAATATCAACTCTCTGCAGGATGATTAATACATCCTTGTGGAGGGTGAGTGATTCCGTTGCGAGGAAGACGAATGACGAGACTTCTAATGCATCAATTGTGCACAACAATGTCATTTTTGTGCAACACGAGAGCATCCTTTTCCTCCTCAATTTCCACCTCTTCAACTTTTATTTATGAGAGCGGAAAGTTTTTGAAAAATTCTCAACTTTCTTCTCCTTTCTTCGAGGACCTTTTCATCGAACGAAGTTTATATGCATTTCTGTATAACAAGTTGAAGTCTATTGAATGCAGTGCTCAAAGTAGTTCTTTTTTTTCACTTTGGTGCCCTATAAATGTATTAATTAAATGTAATTAAGTTTAACTAATTTTCCACCCCCTTTTTAGCGGAGAACTTTCTTCATTATCTATATTTTCCATAAATTAACTCACAAAAGGGTGAACATTGTTCGCTCGAGATATCACAAAGTAATTTGCGCTCCTCTTTTATGACTGCCAAAGAATGTTTACCTTAAATTTCTCCGTGGTTTACGAGTAAAAACTTAAAGACTTTCCACTCATTACAAATTAACCCCCATAACGTGCAAAGTACTTAGACGCGCGCGTAATTGAGAATTTTCCTCATGGTATGCGCTCCCTCTCTATCATTACTTGAGGAATTTCCCAAGGAGTCCCCACAAATACTCAATTTTCCGAGTAAAGACATTCACGAGCAGCGACACCTCATAACAGCTGCATACTCGAGGAAAAATTCATTGACAATTTGCCCTGACACCCTTAAACGATGTCCTCTCGCTCCTGCAGCATTCCTCCGCCATTGCGACCAACCCAGATCAACCCTTGTGGCGCATCGAGCAGAAAATCCACCCCAGCATGGGAAAGACTCGAGTAAACAACCGCTGGAAAGTGTATTTTTCACCAAAATGAAAATCAAGAAGCGCTAGATTTATTGCTCTGAAGATGAATCTTCCGACCATTTGTCTAATTTGACCATTTATCTGCGATTCAAGACAAGCGCTGATAACTGGAATTATGCGAGGCTGTAAAATTTCACAAAAGAACCGCGCGAGCAAATATTGAGCTGCCGAAAAGGTTAAAGATCATCAGCATGGTTATGAGAAATGTCAGTTGATATGCATAAACGTGGATACAAACAAGTTTACATTGATTTTTATGACATGAATGATTTTTCAATGCAAAGGTCGCGAGCAGAAATTGATATATTCGCAATTTAAATGTAAATCAAAAACTGGGAAGAATACATACATCGCCCTACAAATCGATTTATAAATTTACGTACATTTATGCATTTTTTAAGCTTCAAAATTTGCCTTCAAACAATAAAAATACCTTCGAATCGTCCATTAAAGTACAAATATTGCTCTCTAATAATAATTTTCAGAACTTTTCAGTTGATTTTATTGCCATTTATCAAAATTTTTGACTTAATTATGGAAAAGTTATAAGATAAATTGAAAATATATCTGTCCAAAGTTGATTTTTAATAATCTTCGGGAACATTTTACCCAAAAAAGTTCCAAAAATCTCATTTTCATTAGACTTATTAAACTTTCTCTCAGTTTTCAATTGAAAAAATTAAAATAAAAGACAATTTTCAAATTCATTTACAGTCTAAGAATATTTTAGGAAAAATTTATGTTTATCAAAAAAAAAGCGTTTGGAACAATTTTCTTAAAGAAATTTCGATGAAAAATAATAGCCCTCAATTTACCCGTCTTATATATTCTCAGCATAGAAATAAGAGATTGCTTTATTAAGAAATAGAACTTACTTCGTTCATATAATATTCCATTGAATTAGACGTTCAACCTACGCGCGCATTTGTAAAGCAATAAATTGTTGGAAATACTTTCGAGCATTGCGGTTTAGCATTACTGCCTTCTCCCACTGCATCAAATTTGCTAAATATAGCGTTGAAGGCGAGAGAAATTCCTGACATTTGAAAATTAAATGATGCATTAATCAATATGACAATTTCTGCATTGGAAACACTTGTTGATCCTGCGACAGCGGTTCAAGTACACAAGCATGCTTAGATTCGGGACGCTTGGCGAGGGGGTGGCGTGAGGGGGAGGAGGTGAGAGATCGCAGTAAAATAGGCGCCAACAATTAACTCGGAGTGCACATCAATTTAGCGTGTCACATTTGGCATATTTGCCGCATTGAGTCAATCCAACAGTTTCGTGCAAGTGTGCAATCCCCACTAAATTGACCTTACAAACGTACATTTCGATAAATTACACGGTTGTGGCAGAAATACTAGCAATTCTTTCACGAATTGATTGGATCAAGTAAGAACTTGACTCTTGATTTTAACCCTTTTTGCCATTTACAATCAATATTTGCGTGGATTCGGTGATATTGAAATCTAATATGACTTATTTCTCCTTGGAGACTCTTTGTGGGGGCGAAGAAATGGCGCAAGAAGGAAAAACTTTCCTCTCTGTTTTCCTCAGGTTTCTCGATGAATTTTTACAACATTGTGTGTGTGCAAAGGGAAAGAGAATATGAAGAAATTTATGGCACAGAAAAGGGAGCACATCTCCTCACTGAAATGGCAGAGATGTGAAGAAAATTTCCAGAAGAGATAACATTTTTCCCATTCACAAACTTAATGTTATTTTTCTCTCAGTTTCGGTGAATAATTTTCCACTAAACATAGGGCGTTATATTGAGTATTTTGAGGCTTTGTCAGGAGAAGGAGAAAAAAAGGCAGTTTTAGAAGAGCGGATAAAAGTTTTGAGGAAAGTTTATCTGCGACGATAGCTTTTGCGTCGTACATAATTCCGATTTCAAGAATATGACACACGCTGCAAGGTATTTCATTTCTGAGGAAATTGACAGCGCAAGGAGACTTCCAAAGAGGACGTTATTCTGCCCTGTGATTTGGGATTAGATGGATTTGCATTACGTTGAAATTTTGTCGACTAAACATCCTTGGGAGAACTTTTCCCACCTCTGGCTCAAATGTTGGTCTTTGAGGGATCTAAAATGTCAAAGAAAGTCCCTTCTAATTTCACTGTGCTCCTGCTTGAACTTTCACCAATTCACTCAGCAAAAGCGCTGGAAGGTGCGATGAAAGTCAGCCGACAAAGCGGAGAAAGACAAATATCCCAATCAATATTGCGTATATCAAGAAATTCTCATCTCTCTGAGTCTTATTATTTTATTGGCCTCCCCACGAAAGTGTTGACAATGACAAAAAAATTGTTTATCTCAATTTTTCAGCATCCCTTGATGGTGGGCCGCGTCTCCGGAATGTCTGAGCCGAGTCGGAATTTGTTGACGGTAGGCAATTTGGAGAGTGGCGTCGGAGGTATAGAAGGATGTGCCATTAGTGACATCTTCGAGAACAGCGGCGAGGAGTACTCGCTGTCCCCGCCGTCCCTCATCCTCCAGCCCGATCCGCCAGAGAGCCTGCCTCTGCCGAAGAAGAAGAACGCAAAGGTTGAGTTCGTGCAGCTGGACTCAACCGACAAGCCAATCCACTTTGCCGATCGCGACGACGTGATCCATGCCAAGATCTTCGACGAGATCAGAAAGTGAGTACCACATTGCTGTGCGAGCTGAGCTTATCAAACGGACGCAATTATCACTTGGTCATCGCATTTGCCGCTTCAGACACACAAATGCCCCAATCCAAATAGCGCACATAGAAGACATTCTGCTTAGGTGATGTGTATTAAATTTTTCCACTGAGTCAGCGAAACGTCGCCAGCCTTTTCACCCCATGGAAAAGTGGCTCTTCTCTAGATGGAGTGTTGTTTTGTCTTTTCACTCTCTCTCTCGCCCAGCAGCTCAAGTAAACAGAAATTACATGGCTGTTCCACCAAATTCCCTCCAATGATGCCTTCTTATCGATGCATTTGACACGACTCGAAAACATCTCCAACTCCGTGGCTCATTGATGATCACTCACGCTATTGAGTTTATGTGCAAGTAGATGCGAAAACACACTGACAAGTGCAATTGGGACTCAATTTATCTAATTTTAGCTCATGTCGGCATATCAGGAGCTATAAATATTTAATTTTCTGTGCCACAAATCAGCTGTGAGAGCAGATCTGAAAAAGTGGTTGTGCATTGAATGGCCAGAAGCTAGACCGCAGGGGCTGCCAAGTGGGTAGTTTAGCGACTGGCATCAAATAAAAATACCCCCATTTATTGCAATCCTAAACCTTTGAGTAGATTTAATGAATTTTTAGATTGCTTGTGCTGATAAAATATGAAAGAAAAGTTCAATCAAAGCCTTGATTGATGTTGCCGAGGGTGGAATTTCTCTCATGAGTAAATTCTAACGAATTTAATTTGAAATATAGCATGGCAAACTTTTAATTTGCAATTTTATAGTATCCATAAGTTTATTATGTCAATGCAGAAAACGACTATCACAACAAAACTTGTAATAATAAAATACAAGACTCAAGAATATTTCATAAATATGAATTATGATTACGAAAATACTTAAATTTCGCTTTCATCTTCTCGTGAATATAATCCAATTGAATGGAGATTCAGTGGAAATTCTCTTTAAATGATCGTTTCGCTATACATTCCCTCTCAGGATGGTAGATTTCACTTGAAACAGCAAAAGTCTTTTGTGCGTCTCATGACTTTCCTCGTGAATTTCTCCAACTAATAAGATTGAATGCTAACGAATTTTGAGCACAGTGTGTGTGTGTCTCGAAGTGCAAGAAGCTACTCAAGTATTTGTGCATTACTTTGCAAAAGTTTTACGATGCTAAACTTCAGATGCAGCTGTTCTTTGAGTCACTTTTCATGACTTTTGCTCCAATTCATAATCCCAACACATAGTTTATGTATGCAAATATCAGCACGTATAAGATGAAAATACACTTTTTAGCGTCAGAATTATCGCACTTTCAATGGTGCCTCTCGCGTCGCTCGCGTGGAATCTTTTCTTTTCTTCTCCCTCACGACCAGATGAAAGTGGTAAGAGGAGTCTTAGAAGATTGGAAATTCCCATGTTTGAAAATTGGCTGAAGGAAAATTCAATTTTGAGCGAGGGTTGACGAGAGCGAAGCATTTTCCCCTCATTTCCTCGCCATTCTCTCGCTCTCTCTCTCTCTCATTCTCTCTTTGATAAGGACTTTGGGAGATGCGAGAGTGTGCGAGCAATTGAGAGAGAATCAGAATTACAACCACCGAAGGCGCAGCTCTAAATACGATACTCAAGTGAAGACCATGCAAAGTGACGGTTAGTCTCGCTAGTACCACGGAAAGTGGCGGTTGCTCTACGCGAAATGCCGCACTATCGGATCGTAACCACCAAGTTTTCCCTTAATTTCACCACCAGAGTTGATAAAGTTGTTGTCTGTGGCAAAATTTCTCCCTCAGCCTCACTTCTGTGCTAAAGCCTTCGCCCCGGTCGATCGAGATACGTGATAATATTGTGCTAAGCCGTATCTGTTGAAGTGTTTCTGGGTGACTCCGAAAGATCCAACGATAGTGGTGCTGTTGTTTCCAAGAGAAAAAGGCACCAGAGGAGGAGAGAAAGAGAAAAAAAGCACGAGACCGAGGAGAACCTGAGGAAATACAGCGACTATTATTCCGGATTTCGCCAGCGACGATGCTAAAAATAACACATCCTTCTCCTTAATGAAAAGACCCCATCTAATCAGTGCGTGGATAATTTATCTGAATCTGCTGGCCCTGTTCGGCGACAGAGTTTTATACGGTTTTGTTCTCTTTTTGGTTTGTTACTTTTATTTGTCCAAAATTGTGCTCACACTCTGTATACGTTATTATTTAAATTGCGTCGCTAATGTGTCGTGAGGTGAATTTTAATCAAAGTGAATAGAAATTAACTATTTATAAAATACAAGAATAACATCGCCGAGACAGAAACTGTGAACTATTTCATGCTATGCCGCATTTTTCTTCTTCTGAGAAAAAGAATTCTCTGCACTCAAATGCCGCCTTTTTTCCCCCTTTCTCAGCATTCACACGAGCTTTCCATGTCACAAACTATCGGAGAGTTGATGAAAATGTCGTAAAAACGTCTTTATAGAGTGACGAAGTTTTTTGCGCCAAAAACTTCCCATGTGCAAAAGAGAAGAGCGAGAATTCCTCAATATAAAACCCATGGTCAATGGAGGTTTTTATATTTGATTCTCCACAGCCACAGAATCACTGCGAGAGTTCTGCCCCTTTGTTGTTCACTCAAGCGTCACATCGGCATATTTCCGAGGGGAATTGATTACAATCTTGGGGGGCATTTTGTAATTTATGATTTGTTTAACTAACTATCAAACTTTCAGAGTGCTTGATTCAATTTTTTTTCCAATTACACTTCACCCGCTCAATCATGTCTGAAATTTGAAGTGAACTTTCTTTGCATTTGACGCTTTTTGATGTGTTCATAGAAGTAAAAGTGGAGGTTCTGATTGACTGACAACAGAAAGTTTCGGTTCGAGAGTTGTTGCCAAACACAGTATTCAACTGTTTATAGTCACTCAGATGCTTTTCTTACCGAAATATCTACATTGTAGGTACAAAATGTGTAGACAGACGGTCTACATTTAGTCCTTAAAATCATTTAAAATGTAGGCCTTAGAGTAGCATAAGTTTACTACAAATGTACGACAGGAAAGAATTAAAACAACATAAGAAGACAAAACGAGAGTCTCAGAAGAAATCACGGGGAATTTGAGATATTATCAGGCAGAGTTTATACTAAAAATGCTATTTTTCAGCAGTTCAAGCGAAAAATTAGTGCTGAATTAAAATTAAAATTTAGAAATTTAAAAAAGTTATGGAGCAATATTTTTAACCAAAAAAAACAACATTTAAGAGATTTAAATCAATTTTAAAAAATATTTTAAATATACTATATTTTCAACTGTTGCAATTCTCTTTGAAGCCCAAAATTTGGCGGAAAAACTCTTAGAATTGATATTTTATTCAAATCTGAACTACATTTTTGTGGTTATGTTTTATCTTCGTATAATTTGATCCGTTTTGATTTGGTAAAAACCACCAAAATGCTTAATTCTGCCAATTAATAAAATTTGTTCCACTTTGACTGTGATTTTTTTAAGGATAAATCAAGAGAAATTTAAGTTTTTATCCGAAAAAATGTATCAATTAGTTTCAAAACGGTTTTTTAATCAGTTGCGCTAGAAGAATTTAGAGAATAATTAGGTTGAAATTGCATTCTGTCATCTCGTTAGTGATGGTTAATAATCTAGAGTGATCTTTTCTCAACAAAAGACATGGTAATTAAGTCAGGGTATTAATTTTCCTTTCAAAGGAATAATAATCTCTCAAAATCAATATCAGATCGCCAAGTATCAAAAGCCATTGCATGAATAGCCGCCAGACAACGCATATACCTTCTTCATGTTTGCTCTGCGTCACTCAGTCGTCTTTTTATAGTCTGTCACACAATACATACAATTACTGTGCAGCAGAAAAATATCAACGCGATGGCGCATATTCAATATGCGGAACAATAAAGCACATCGTAGCATAAAATGCTCAATAATTCAATTACATTGCAAATCAATCGTATGGAGATGGGAAATATTGTGTCGAGTCGAGTTTGTTGAGTTGATGCGAAACACTTTTTCTCTGTGCACAAAGTTCAGGTCGAGCGAGAGGAATTGTAGCATAGTGAAAAGTATGGGAAACTTCGCTGGGGTCTCGCGTCTGTGTGGAGGTGATAAAAATAGTGAAAAGGAAGGTGAAAAAGTTCATGTCATTGTGGTTGGTCAGCTCTTCAAGTGTCCCACTCTTTTTTGCTCGCGACACTTTTCTTATCGCTCGCCTTATCAATATTGGTATTTAAAACCAATACTAATCCACACACGTCCCATCACCCATCCCACTCGCACCCATTCGACTTGCGATGTGTGGAAAAGGTTCTGCCAACAGAAATCTCGTCAATGAGAGTGTTTTGTTTCGATGGGGAGGGGGAAACTTGAGGTTTTGTCACAAAATATCAAAAATATCGTTTTCAGTTTAAATTCGGACGAGACAATGCTAAGTTTTGTGCCACGTTCGCCGCGCGACACACAAAGTCTGTTGATTGAACTTATGTTTTAAGTCTTGCGATTGCTTCGCGTCATTATCATTTTGTGCTTCCGTTTAATCTATCACAGACCCGCGCGTTAACCAGATTGCCTTAAGTTTCTGTCTTTCGCAATGATTTAGTACGAGAAAATTCATCAATTGCAGTAATATAATTTGGTTTATTATTTGCATCGACAATGACAGACTCTTACAATATTATTTTAATTGATAGATATAGGTGAGTTTGCTTTTTTCCTTTTCTTTCTGCCTTATTCACATTATCTTTCCAAATTCCCGTCACGTTTTTTGCTTTCTCCCCCAACACATACTTTTTGTTGGCGTTTTTCCGCGCAAAAAAAGCGGCACAAGAAAAATGATCAGTGATTTACTGGGTGTTGCGGATTTACGTCGGAGATACGTGAATTGAAGAATATCTCTATATCACGAGAGACCTCACGCTACACTGATAAGATCCTCCAGATCCCCTTTTAATTGAGTTTGCAGAAGTGCTCCTCTTAAAGATGGACTACAGAGTGTTACGGCGAATTGTTGTAATTTGCAGAAAAGTTTCCCGGCAGCTCGGAAACTGCGTTAAAGACATCCTCTGCTAAATTAATCCCAATCGTGTCGCCGCTCTGAAAACTTACTCTCTCGCTCTTCCTCAACAATGGCTATATATATACCACTGGGTGATTGTGTGTTTTCCTCAGCATCAAACAATGTAATTGAATTATTTTAGTAAAATACGATGAAATGATATCGTGCAAATACGAAGATGGCAGTGACAAAAGCGTAAAGTTTTATTGCAGAAGCAAAAAAAAGTGTGCTAAAGTTGGGAAATTGTGCAGAAAAACGGTTCAGCAGACGTGCTTTGTTGCTCTGTTGATCCTGGATGGAAATCATTGCAACTTCATTGAAAGTTTTCCTGTTCTGTTGAATCGAAGGATATCCACAGAATTGCCGATAAATCCGAAAAAGTTTTCATGATTCTCAATTAGATTTTCTCTAAGAGATTTTCCATAGTTTTGAACTGAAATTACAGGAAATTCTTGGAGCTTCTAATCAATAAGAATGTCATTAATTGTCTGGAGGAAAATTCTATGTATCACTTCACTTCTAGCTTTCGCTTCCAAGAAGAGAAGTAAAGGATTGATTTCCAAGAAAATCGGATTCAAAGGTTCTTGTTTTCTCTTGAAAATATTTCATTAAACCACTTGAACTGCACTCAATTCTGTCTATAGTGTGTCAGAAAGTGTAGAAGAGCTCATTTGTGAGGTGTTAAATAATTTCTTGTGGCGCACAGCACAGATGAATTCTTGAGAAGATTGGCGTAATTATTGTTGGTATATTAAATTCCCAGCGCCAGTGAAACTTTAATGCCAATCTCAGCTTGTGCATGAATGTTGCGGTGTTGCAGCAAGAATTGGTGGGTGACAAAATGAATTAATTGTAGATGATATGAATGGATGCAATGGTGTGAGAGATTGTGTACATGAATACTAAATTGATAGGCATTAACTGACATGTATTCCTTGATTAAATACGACACAACTCTCGAGTCTCTATACGTAATAATCATGCTCCCTTAGTGGCAATTAAACACACAAACGAAATTTATGCCGTTCAGCCACAATCTCGCACCCTCGCTGCGTTCCCCCGACCGTGGCATTATCGAAATGCCCACAACAACTCGCTGCAGCGACATTGGAAAGACAGTGAAAATGCGAGGGAAAACTGTGTGGTGATTGACGAAAATGTGGGTGTCAGAGATTTACCTGGAATTTCCTCGGGTGACGGAAAATCGATCTGTTCCAAATTCCTAATTGACTAATTGATACTCCATCATGGACTGCTCTGAGCAGGTATCACAGTCAATCTCCTCAGCTGTATCTAAAATTAATATTAACATCAGTCTTGTTGGGCTCTTGTGGCGAATTCCAGGAAAAAATCACGCGCTCGTTTTTCCGCTTGCCGCATAATTTCTGACTCCGGAAAGTGTGTTGCCGGTTTTTTTTTGTTGGCAAAAACGCCCAAAATCACTGGTTGTTTTTAATCCACAGTTGAGCTTCTTTAAATCGCTGATAAGAGAATGACGAAAAATGAAACATTATACCTATTTGAGGGATTTTCTGTCAAACATTTCCATCGCGACTTCGTCGATGTGTCATCAGTCCAGTTTTCAAATAAAAAAAACCACGCGTTTTCTTACATATTTTTATCATCACAAATACACAAAACAAATACCAAATCGTGTAAACAAACACGTATGCAAAATCAATGAAATAATTAATATTCTGTGTAATTGACACTTGAAAATACTTAACAACAAGTGAGACAAATTTCAAGATGTGAAACTTGATATTGATTAACAATTCCACATATTTATTCCATATTTATCTATATATTCTGCCCTGAAGTTCCTTATCGTAATATCGAAATATTTCCCCTTTTCGACAATTCTAGGAATTTTTATGATATATTCATGAATGTTTTCCATTCTGAGAGCATCAGTGGCGTAGTCAACGCAATTTGTTTAAATTTTAATTTAAAATATCAAATGTATTAAATATTCAAAGTAATTTTCCCAAATCTTTTGAATAAATTGAGTGTTTTCCCTGTTCTAATACATTTTCTTGCAAAAGACATAAAAATTGAACTTCGTTAAACTGTAAGACGTAAAATTTTTAAAGCCTTTTTATCGTCTGGAGCCTTTCTTGACCCATTCGCCCTTTTGAGCTACGCCACTAGCTCGCTATAGTCTCACATAACTCGATAATAAGTAATCTTCCAGACAAGAAATTTCTATTTACTCGCTCCATTAGACACCAGCCATCGTCAAATATTGAGAGAAGGCAGGCGACATTTGCTCTTCAAGTGTTTTTGTGGAATAATTTGCAAGAAATTAAGTGTGACAAGTGAGATAATGATGGAAAAGCTTCCCAATTAGAACATTTAGCGAAACTAACAAATGTGACAATTGATCACTAATGATAGCTACATTTTAAAGTGTCTTGCGCAATTTGGCGTTGCGCTCCAATTCTCACATCTTGCATGCGTCAATCGAAAGAAACTTAGCAACACTATAATTCATGAATACGAAAACAATGCCAAAGACCACCATGAAATGTTTCTGTCTCATGTATTTTTCACGGGAAAAACTGACAATTTCTTCGTCATCACAATTCACGAGCAATCATTATATCCCACTTGACGTGAAGTGTTATTGATTGGTGCGATTTGATCGGCCAATTATGAGCCTCTGGAATCTAGTTTCCCGTCTCCCTTTACATGGCCAGTCTTGCGATAATGCAATAATAATATTATGTTATTCAATAATATCGAAGTCAATTCGTATCACTGTCTCTGGGTGTGATTTCTCCTTCAACTCCTCACGATAAGATTTAAGAGGGTCAATGAGTGTGTTGGTGGTGGAAATCAGACGAATTTCGTGTATGTTTTGTCCATCAGACGAATTCAACATGCGCTCTTATCAATTGTGACTGAAACGCAAACAAGAGTGGAAAGATTTGCTCTGCCTATGTCATTATATTAGGCCTCTTGACTGGAGATTTCTTTCAAGTTTCACATTAGAAATATTTTGTGTACGCTTTCTGTTTGCGAAAAATCCTCGCCCTCCGATATGTATCATTTTCACGTCCAATCCCACCTCTTATCCCAGATGATTTTCTTGGAGAAAAAAAGGGAGAAAACATGAGTTCATGATATGGAGCTGTTTAGTCTCCTTCAATATCTCAAGGGGGAGATAATGTAGCAAGAAGTGGTGTAAAACTCAGAGGGAGTCTTAGAAGTGCTTCTTTTGTCAAGTGTCAGGCAAATTTGGATGTGTTCAGAAGTAGTGTACAGATTGAAGGCATATAATCTCCCCCTTGGAATATCTACCTGACTGACGAAATGAGAGAGTCCCCAAGGTATGAGAATCCTTCGAAAAGGCTTCTGTTTGTGATACCATTTAGCATCTGAGGCGAAAATATCTCAGCTTTCTCTGCTCTTCTCAGGATTTTCTTATTAATTTTGAGTGTCTTCTCACATGTACTTATCTTGTGCTCTTGTGATTGTTATTATTCTGGTAGATCCTTTTTCTTCCATCGCATTTCTGAGACTCTATGGATTTTCCTGGAGACGACACAACGTCGATGGCAAAATTATTTTCTCTCTGCTCCCTCCTTATCAGCTCCATAAGATGTTTATGCAGAATTCTCGGTGGCGAGAATATGCGGCGTCTCTTTGTTTATTTTCTATACACATTACATAGTAATGAAAAATTTTAAATATTCCACACAAGGGTGAGATGAGGATGGCGGAAAAAGAAAGGTTGGCGAGATGCGATGGCGGAACACGTTTGAATATGCTCTCTTATGAATAAATTAAGAGCAATGGCACTAATTTGCAAAAGAAGGAAGTAAGAACTAAGGGTGGTTCAGCCTGAAGAAGTGAGTAAGCAGGAATTGCCAAGTGTGGCGAACACTCAGTGTTAAGTGAAATGGATAGCAACTCAAATTGTTGTATTTTATTTGGCGGCACGGATAATTAATTATGTAACCTGCGAGTAGTGAAGAGATTTCTCTATATTGTACACAAACTATTTATTGTTCCACCCAGAGCAATGGAGGCTAATGTTTAATGCAGTGTGTGTGCTGTGTATTTGATGGGGAAACTGGTCTGTGTGGTTTTCCGGGAAATTTACAGCAGCCAACTCACCCACTGAGAATACTTTTCAACTCTCACACACTGTTGTATTCTGCGTATCAATAATGCAATCAGCAAATTAATAATTTACATCACAAATATTTCCATCAATGGCACGACGAAAGGTGGAAAAAACAAACAAGCTTTTTCTTCATTTTCACTGCCAATTTGTATGGCAGAGAAATGGTGGCAAACAGGGGAGAACATATATATTTTGTATAGGTATTTTATGAAGTCTTTTTAATCGGCGATAAATTTTCCAAGAATCGCTGGAATGCGTCTTTAATAGACGACAAGGAGTCATTTGGCAAAACAAGCAGAATATTTGTGACACAAATAACATGGCGCAGTAACAATAAAAAGTGTGGTATATCATCGCAAATTCATACATTACATTTGTGTTGCTACAAGTGATACGTGAGTGAGATATTGAATGGAAATTCGTTTCATTCAACAGCAGACAATAAATCCAAACATTAAATGGCTGAGACGCTGAGGAATATTTCCATTTTCCTCCACTTTCGTGTCACTGTTCCAATAAAAATGTTATAATTCCACATTGTTCGGTTTCCGAGCAATCATGCTTCGGTCTTCGATGGGTGGGCGAAGGGGTATGTACTACCCTTTATCATGGGCAGAGAGTGCTTTTGCACACATCCAAGCTCGCAGTGTCTAATCCACTCAAAATTTATTCTCCCTATTTATTCGCAATATATAAAGCATAATTGCGAGACAAACAACAAAATAGAAAATAAGCGTGCAGGCGAGAGTGAATTAAGCTGGATGTAATAAAAAATGTTGGTGGTCGAATTAATGTACGATCGGGGGTTTGGGGATGTCGCAACAAAACCATCATCGCCCCAGCAGTAGAATGTTCGGGGTCACCCCCTGATGATGTCTCACCATTTCGGCATGTTCTCACTTTCAGTTTACCCAAAAATACAATGTCCGAAACTTCTTGGCTTCTTATACCCAAATTGCGACTAAATAAAACTTTAGTATGGCGCGTGGTAATAAATTTTTTGTGACCTTTTCACTCGTCGTGGAAAAATCGATTTTTGCAATATGTTTTTAGTTAGCACAGCGCTGTGATACATAAGGCGGCATTTCTTCGGCCCACGAAAAATATGTACATATATAGAGAGAAGGCAAGAGAGATTCTTAGTTCAGGGTTGAGTGATAAAGTAGATAGAAAATTGGGCTAAATTAATAGTATTAGGATTTAATATTGAGGTGGAAAATTACATCACGAAACAATATAATGCTGACTAGTCTTGGCCAGTTTTATTGGCAAAATTATGCTGGTCAGAGTCCACCTTCGGCTCTGCGCTTCCCCTTGACATTATTATTGGTCGCATGAAGAGCTCCTCAATATGTGATCGGAAAGGAAATTATACCCCAATTACGACTGAGGGACTTTACCACTGATTTTTATCGATATTCAGTTTCTGTCTCGATGAAATTGGCGCATTTCGCAAGTTTCACGGTCTGACCGGGATGTGATTGGTGATTTTTGTAGCACGCCAAGCTTCCACGATATCAGTTGCATCACACCCTGGACAGCCAGTGCACAGAAGCAAGTTGCAGCGACAATAAATTCACTCTCCCCAATCTCACCACAGCCAGCATACAAATTAAATTGAAATTAAAAGTGCATGAGCTGCGGAGAGACCTCTAAAAAGGTTGTGCAAGAATCTCACCTTCCAAAAGTGGATTTGTCTACACACATGGCCACAGAGAGACAGGAGTTGTATATGAAATTGTAATGACGATAGTACTTGAAATGGAGTGCAGTAGTTAGACCAAAAAATAGAAGAGAAAGAGAGAGAGAGAAAGAGAATCAAGGAATAATGATGACAAGTGCGCAGTTCAAAGCTCACGAGCTTTTAAAGAAGTCTTCAAGCGGACACAAAGCGGTGGACGTCAGCGAAACTTGACTAAGTGTAAGTTCCCATTGATGTCACATTTATATACATATCAACCATTGTTGCTCCTTTTAGCTCCTTCTCATTATATACCAACACTTCCGACCCACAAGCTATTCCTACAATATATCGAGGATCATGTTTGTAATATTCACCCACGACGGAGCTTTGCTGTGTGCGTTAATATGATATATGGAATATGCTCACAGCATAGAGACGAAAAGCCTCGCCTGAAGGGTGTGTCGCCCTTTTTTTGTCTCACTTTTTCATTCTTCCCAGAGCCTCCACTCACTTTAGATTTCAATTAAATTTCCTCGCCGCACAAGCTCACTTGGCGATGGGGAAATATTTCCGTAATCCAACGATAAGTAGGTTGTATCTTCGTGCTATATTTGTATTAAACCCCTCTAGAGAGATTTTCCAGATTAATATTTTCTAATTGTACAATTTGACTTTAAGCTCTAAATGCCGTTGAGCTGATAAAAGTGTCTTTCACTCATTGTCTTTAATCCCTTAACAATGTCAGAGTTCGCGAAGAAAATCGCATGATATCTCAAGTCTACAAATGCGTTCGTAGATTCATAGAAATTCCCCCAAAATACGTCGAAACCATGTATAATAACTACCCTTTTACGCACTTTTGTCAAACTTCAAGAATTTATAGCAAACAAATTGTCTAAAATGGGCTTCAAGTAATCCTATCAGAATTCTTATTTTCCTTTTCAATGCGAAAATTGGGGTTTTAAAGTCCCCTTTGAAGTGTGGTAAAATACTCCCTTTTACACGGGCAAGATTAAATTTACCAATGTCACTTTAAGTGAGCTGAAAATGAAAGCTTATGCGCTTCACGGAAGACAGCATTAAAGTAATTGAAAAAATTGACTGCCAACCTCTTCACACAGCTTCACCTTATTCTCTTCCCCAACACTTATGCTATCTCAGAATTCTCATCATTTCTTTCTTACTTCTCCTACACATTACGCGCGTAGTTGATACATAATGTGTGCGTAGAATGTAAGATAATACATATATACTTTCATAAATTGAAGTATACGCATACTTAAGTATGTTTATACAAAAAAAGTGTATAAAACTAGAGAGGATGAGGTGAAAAAGACACCTTTTTATGATAGAATCATGTTTCCTTCTCACTTCTCTTTGCACGCGTTGTATGAAAATGAGGTGTTTCTCTCCGCATAGAATCGCGGGGTATCAATTTAGCTGAACGGTGAAATGAACTCTTACCGTGTTTATTTTTCTCTTAAATACACATACATGTTTAATTTTGGTGAAAATTCTGTTTGCAAGACTAGTTATCCGTGGGATAAACTGGGCAAATTTGTAGTTCAAATTGGTTATAGATTAAATAGTAATATTTTTTTAATCTACACAAAATGTATTATTCAACAATAACAGATGTTGCATGTAAAATTATCACTACTCATAATTAAAATCCACTTTCAATTGTCATAAAATTACCCGATGTATTATTGATATTATTATGTACTTTTTGAGAGCTCATTAGCTATGTAATTGTTGAAATTTCAATATTAATTGATACATTAATTGTATAGTTATACACACAAAACATATTTGTGCACAAAACTGAAATACACAATAGATAATATTAATTAATAAATCTATTCAAAAATTATTATGCACAATATTAGAAATGCAATCAATTAGAAATGTAATAATGCATATTTATGTGCATGTTCTTCAATGAAAATTGAAATTTAGAATTTGAATTAAACAGTGCAACACCGCATAAGTGGGATTTGACGAGCATTACTACCTATGCTTATGATGCACACTTGTATGAAACAGCAAATCCTGCTCGTGCACTTATATTAGAATTAATTAAATACCAAAATAATCCAATATATAAGGTATTAAGGATATTATACAATCTAAGCAGAGAGAATTGCTCTGTTGCAGTGAATTCAAATATCCCCTCAGATTTCCAATAAATGTGCACATATGACTGCATGAAATACACATTTATCACATTTCGCAACACAATCCGAGATCCAACAAATGCTGTTGCATCAGAGTCCATGTGCGATGAAAAGCGAAAAATGCCAACAAGTAGTTTCCCCAGAGATGCTCACCTTCTTCCTGGTGAGCCAGAAGCATCTTTACGGGAAGTATAATGTGTTATTCATGGGATTGTGTTGATGGGAGGGAAAAGAGTGGATTTTGTGCAGTGTAAATTCAACAAGACGCTTCAGTTGTTACCTCCTCCTTTTGTGTGCACAACACTTTTCCTATTTAATATTTAATTCAAAGTTCCGTGCATGATGAAAGTGTGAGTGTGATTCCCCCGTGGATCGTGCATCGGGGAGCAACATATGGAACATTGAAATCCCATGATTACTTTTCCCAATTGCGGTCTCTCCATGTTGTGAAAAATCAATGTAGTCTCGCACTGGAGTGAAATGTCTGGGATTTTCCACCCTTCGTATGAATCGTATAAACTATTTAAATATAATTCTGTCATATAGCATATTCAGGGGGTGAAATTCTCATGATCTCGTCAGCTATTCACGCCAGGAGACGCTGTGCTGAAATGGTTATTGGTAAGGGTCCTGGACGATAGTCAGACAAGAAAGTAAACCATTTCACATGTGTGTCCTCTCGAAAAAAGATTCAAACTGTTCTTGGGAGTGGTCAATTGAAAAGACGGTCAATAGAAGAGGAGAGTTTCGTAAAATAAATAAAGCCTGTGCCCAAGAAGATAACTGTGATTGCCCAAGAATGAAGCATTCTCTATGAATAGGATTTTAAGTCAATATTTATATATTGTGATATTACACCTTTTCAAATATACCTTTTTTGAGAGGGAGTATAATTGGAATTTGTGACTCTCTAAGTCATTTGAGTTTCAATTCAATCTCCATTGATGTTGAGACGCGAGATAAACAATTCAATTCCACCAACGAAAAGCTTCATACGTTGCAGAAAAAAGCTCCTTATGTGGTTCAATGAAGAGTAAAAAGCAGTGCAACATTTGGCACAAGTTTTTATCTCTATTATTATTATGTGCTGTGCTTGTTGGTAATTGTATTTAATCGTATTGTATGCATTGAGCGAAAAAGCTAAAGCAGATTTAGCAGATAAATACAATAAAACGGAAGAATATCATTTGCCACAACATAGTTGCAAGAAATTAATTTAAAAATCATTTTAGTCTCTCAATTGATAAATCTACAATGTAGCAATCTGTCTTCAAACTCATTTCACGCCGATTTAGCATGTAAAATGAAATGAGCGGCAATGACATGGGTGAGGAAAGGGAAAAACACGTGAAAAGCATTTCAGGGGACTGATAAAAGTGACCATTCAAATAATCCTTTTTCGTGGGAAACATGCAAAACTGTCTACGTTCACAGAATTTGTGAGCCAATTAAGCTTCCCAATTCCATTGAGGAGTGCCACAAAAGAGCCTCAGAAAGTATAGGAAATTGAAAAAAAGGAGAAAAGTTTTCAAAGAGTTCGAACAAAATACTTTAGGCGAAAAAATGTGACAGAAACTCGATAAATCCATTGGATCTATCATGAATAAAAGAAATGGTGCAATTTGCCCATTATTGCCAAAATATCAATAATCGAGTGAAGAGCACTCTGGAGAATGGCGTTGTTAAATTTTCCATGGTCTTTTTTCTGCGGATCGCGCTTCAATTGAATATTTAAATCCAATGGCCCCGAAGTTTTATGAGGATATTTTGCACGAGTGGCAAAAATTGCTGCTTGTCGTTCATTAAAGGTCGACAGGACGGGGTGGTGGTGGAGGGAGTATGGAGCACGCAAGGAGGTTGATGACACGATTGGGGATGGCAAAATGGTGAATTGAAAAGATGGAAATAGAATCTGTTTGCCGGTCACACACATCTTTTTTTCCCACTGTTTGTTTTCGCTTCACAGACTTTCGGATATCCGTTTATCCACTCTCCTTGTTCCCCCATTGGGTTCTTTATTGCTCACATCGGGGGAAGCAATTCATTCTTGCACCCACTCTGAGTTCATCCTTGTCCTGCTTTCCACTCCACATTCACTCCTTCACGCATTCGCATCTCAATGATCTGAATAGTTGTTCAATAGACAGAACACTTTTCGCTCCTTTTCTGTGCCCAGGATCGATGACAAAAGGGGAGTTAGGAGCGCCATTGCATTCAGGAGACCATTTGAGGGATTAAAATAGTTACGAAAACTTAACTACGACAGGAGAAAATTCATAAAATACACACACAATCGCGCTCAAAATCCCTTTTACCCGAACCCAACTCACCCATTTATCATATTAATTTTCTGGCTGTTGGATTTAATAGGATAAGGATTATTCTATGTGTAATGAAAGCAGAGCCACCACCATTGCGGTGTGGCCGAACGAAAGCCAGTTGCATTTGCTTGCAAAACTGTATCCGACATTTAATTATCGATTTCACAGGTCTTTTGCGCTTCTCCGCGTTAAAATATTCCACAGAAAGAGAGATAGAAAAAAACTCATTATTTATTTAAATATTTTCTAACTAGAATTGATCACGAGAGTGTCACACTGTGAGTGTCCTTAATTTTTAAACTAAGACGTCATTAGTCTATGCAGAGGTGCCATAAGTAATTGATATCTCATCTGTGGACAAGTCATTCTAGGAGGGAAATGTAAATTACTATTTTATGAGAAATTCTCCCGTGCCACCAATTTAATGTGACTCCATCTGAGAAATTCCTCCTGCGGAATTAAGTTCATCCCCTTCACATGATGTTATATAAAGTTGAGTGTATAAAATATCGTCGTCTGTGTTGGCAATTCTATGGGAAATCAATAATTCAGGAGAATTACTCTTTGGCGGAATAAATTAGCGTTGGAAGTGCTGTTTGGAAATTTGGGATTGGCTCGTTTAGTATTGGAGTGCGAGGTGAATTGTTTCCATAACAGAGTACCTAACATTGAATCGTGTCAATCTACTTCTCATCCAACGATGAAATTCACTGACGAAAAGCACCCTCTAACAAGATTA